GGCACTCTACCCAGGGTGACAGCTTGAGGTTTTGACAAATATAAAATAAAATAAAAGTTAAAGAAAGGAAAATAAAATAAAATAATCCTGTTTGGAAGAACTTAGGCAGTTTAACTTGAGTTGGGAGACACTGTCCACCACAAGTCCTTTAGCCTTGGTAAAACACTTGAGGCAGAAACGGACCTGAGTTCTGGTTCTGAAATTAAGGTGGCACTTTCACTGCAGGACAGCAAAAGGATTGTGATCATCCCTAAGACATTGTCAAACAGAGAATAATGGAAATTCTCTACCCTGTGTTAGACACCACTGCAGTAGGTCAAAAACTTTATCTGGACCCCTCCAAGCTTCCCTCCTAAGTCCCCTTCAGTGGTTCTCAACCTTCCTAATGCCGTGATGTATTTTCATCGTTACAAAGGGGTCACGACCCACAGGCTGAGAACTACTTTGGGCCCCACATGCTCCGCCTCAGTCAGGCTGGTCTCCCTGCAATCCCACAAGTGGCCACACCTGTTCCTTACATCTAAGGTTGCCAGAATTTCAGATGAGCGACAGGTAAACTTCAGCATAGGGAGCTCCACCTGGAATCCCTTTCTTCCTGTTTCTTATCCTGCAGGGCCTGGGCCCTCCCTTTTTTAGGAAGCCTTCACGCACGGCCCTGCAAAGTTCCTTGCTGATGCTCAAACTCCAGCCAGTTTCTCCCCACCGAGACAGAGGGGAGCTTGGTGGCAGAGGCCGTATGTCTTGTACTCATGTGCTTCCCTTAGCACTTCAGATGATAAATGGTGCTCCAAGAAACACTTCCTGGTTGAGCAGAAGGGAAGAGACAGGTGGCAGCTCACAGTGGTTAAGAAGCCAGTTTGAGCATGAACTGTCCGTCAGGATGGTGACATTTCAGAACTGAAAGGGACATCAGAGATCATCACATGATTTCACAGAAAGGACTCTGAGGGGCAAGTGACTAATCACATGTCCACTGACTGACATCCTGCCTTCTAGGCAGACGCTTCCTCCATTTTGTCCAGGGATGCTCTGTTGCAGGATTACACAGCAATATTTGCAGGGGCGTCTGGGCGCTTTTTCTTTTGTTGTTGTTGTTGATTGAGAGTGAATTACCAGGGTGGGCGAGTTGGCCCAGGCCTGTACTCCTAACACTTTGTTAGGCCAAGGAGGAAGAATCACTAGAGGCCAGGAGTTCAAGAACAGCTGGACAACACAGTGAGACCCTAATGTCTCCAAAAAAAATTTAAAGTTTGCAGGGCATGATGGAGCATGTCCAGAGTCTCAGCTACTCAAGTGAGGTGGGAGGATCACTTGAGCCCAGGACGGCAGCGAGCTATGAACACATACTGTGACTTCAGCCTGGATGACAGAGTGAGACCATCTTGAAAAAAAAAAAGAGTGAACTGTGGTCCATATTACCTCCCCCCTCTTCCCTATGGACTCTCGTTCCATTCCAAGGAATTGCTAACACTGGGCAAGTTCAACTTAGCTCCTCTGTGGACTGAACACATCAGTCATCTCCACTGTGCTGTGAGCTGACACATCTGGACACCTGCTATACCAATGAAGTTTTATTTGTAGTTATTTAGAGCAGATGAAAATTTCAAGATTTGGCTGCAACTTCATTCTCTCAAAAGTAATATTTTGCACAAGAAGTTAAGAGTACAGACTTGCAAAGACAAACGGCTTAGATCCAAGCTCCTGTGTTAGCGCCAGTGCCCTAATAGCTGGGTAAGTGCTGGCATTATGAAATTCCAACAGCACCCCCGGTAAACTAGGTGCAGATTTCAGAGACAGAAACTGTGTATGCATCTCAAATCATTCACGGTGAATGTCTTGGATCAAGGTCATTACGAACAATTATGAGATTTGCAGAGGAATGGACTTTCCATGGCACCCAGAAATAAATGTCAATTTCATAATGTAGCAACTTGTGGGCTTCCAGAGAAGTAAGAAAGGCTTGCCGGTCAAGGCCCTCTCACCACCCTGCATGCTGACCTCGGGGGTGCTTCTTTCCAGTCTGTGGTTAGATCCCCAGTGGCAAGAAGAAGAAAGAGCATCCTTTGACAGGAGAAGCCTAATCACTCCTCTGGCTCAACCTCTATACCACTGATTATCAATCGGTGTGCTGAGGCACACTGGTGTGCTGTGAGAGGATCTGAGGTGTGCTGCACCACACAAGTTTTTAAACATCATTAATTAAATTATTTTCCAGAAGTTTAAAGCACAGTAAATATTCTTTTTTTTTTTTTAACTCTTTTTCAAAAAAATCATAATTTAAGCACGCCACGGAAGTTTAACTATAGATTCAAGTGTGCTGGGAGATCAAAAAGATTGAAAAACACTGCTCTATACTTTTATCACCAAGGAGACCCAGTCTTCTTATCTAAAAAGGTTTGCTAGTCACACAGGTAAACAACAAGACGCTGTCCCCATATGTTCATCTGAAGATGCCAAGAAGGATTTTATTGCAGTTTCATTAGTTGCATTCAACTCATATCATTTAAGGGGTAAAGAGTACAGCACATAAAACCTCCAGCTTAGCTAAACACACAGAATAAAAAGCCAACTTTCACACATTTCCTCTAAATTCACATTATAAAAAAAAAAGACGTGTAGAGAATAAACAATGGCATATTTTCTTCTTCCTTAAAGGAAGTCCCCAAACAATGCTATTAATGCCAGGTCATCAGCAGCATCCCTGGTACTGGGACAAAAAGCCAAGCAGCTCATTCTATGTACAAAGATGCTGACCCATAAACAGTGTGAACAACAGGGTCATGTCACCACTTTCAGGGCTCCTGGGAGGGTCCTCACATTCCCTACCCAGAGAGGTACAGAGGTCAATATAGTCACAGCTGAGCAAGGTATGGGCACTCCCAAGAAGAAAGGCACTGTAGTATGAGAGAAGTTTCTAGCATTGGAACCTTTCTGCAATTCACACAACACTTCAGATGAACTAGGTAGTTTCCCAGAAGAAGAAACCTAAGTTCAATTTTGATAGCTTCATCGGCTTCCATAGTAGACCATTATTTTTCAGGATTGCTTTAAACTCTTAAGCTCCAGATAGGTAAAGAAGGCCAGACGAGGTAGATAACACCTGTAATCCCAGCACTCTGGGAGGCCGAGGCAGGTGGATTGCCTGAGCTCACAGGTTTGGGACCATCCTGAGCCAGAGCGAGATCTCATCTCTAAAAATAGCCAGGCGTTGTGGCGGGTGCCTGTGGTCCCAGCTACTTGGGAGGCTGAGGCAGGAGACTCGCTTGTGCCTGAGAGTTGGAGGTTGCTGTGAGCTGTGATGTCACAGTACTCTACCCAGGGGGACAGCTTGAGGCTCTGTCTCAAAAAAAAAAAAAAAAAAAGAAACAGACCCTTTTTCTCCTTAACTTCATGAATGGCAGATTGACAGTGGGTTAGAATAGAAATAACAGGGCTCTTCAGAAACTTGAGTTTTAGATTGAAGTCGTGAGATTTCTTCCCCTAGTGCCCAAAATTCTGGGCTGGAATTGCTGCTGGGAGGCATTCCTCATGTTCTTAGAGTCTCCTTCCATCTTCTGATTATTAAGCTACTGACAAAGCCTAAGAGCATTCATACCTATAAAATCCTTGAATGAGACCCCCTCATTCTCTATGGTGCCCCCATTTCAAGGTAGCATGATGTCCTCTCTGAAGTTGTTGCTGAAGATAAAGAGATGACAGAAGGCCAGAGCTGGAACATGACCCATAACAAGGCTGTGTTAAAAGAACGTATATGATGTATAAGGCAGCGGCTCTTGACCTCTCGGGCATCAGAAATACCTGTGCGCCTTTCTGAACCTGGGAGGGCTTGGACCCAACTCCCCACTGCCACAGGTGGAGCTCTAGGTAGGAATCTCTTGCCAAAGCTTTATTAGCCATTCTGACATGTGCCATAGAGAACTAACTATTGGTGGAATATTTCTGCTGGGCGTATTTATGACCTTTCTTTTTTTTGAGTAATGGAGATGACTGATCAATGGTGCAATTTATAAGATTGGCATTTTAAGAATTCCTTCCTTCGTTTACTCTCTCAGTGAGATTATCCAGCAATAAGCATGAAATGTAATCCCAGCTCCATTCATAAATAAAGTTAAGATTTTTTTTTTGAGACATGGTCTCACTTTGTTGCCCAGGCTAAATCGTAGTTTTGTCATCATAGCTCACTGCAATCTCCAACTCCAAAGCAGTTTGGGCTCAAGTAATTCTCCTGCCCCAGCTTCCCAAGTATCTAGGACTACAGGCACAGGCCACTGTGCCCAGCTAATTTATTTATTTATTGGATAGAGACAGGGTCTCACTACATTGCTAAGGAAACTCCTGGGCTCACGTGCTCCTTCAGCCTCAGTTTCCCAAATTACTGGGAGTATAGATGTGAGTCACTGCAGTGACTAAAGTTAGAATTTTAAATGGACTTTTGCTTTTCACATTTTGCTTCTTTTATGTGTCAGAGTCAAGATTCATCTTTTTTTTTTTTTTTGGTTGATGACTTTCTTACTTATTGCTAGTTTCTTTTTTTTACATTTCAGATTAATATGAGGGTACCTGGGATTAGGTTATATTGTTTGCTTTTGTAAGGCAAACTCCAAGTTGCTGCACTAGTTCCATTGAAATTCTTCTGGTTTTAGTATATTGCCAATCTCTTGTTTTAAAGACAAAGAGATCTGTACAAACTTTTTAAAAAAATAAATAAAGTATAATGAAAACATTCACCTTTCTGATAAAAATAAAATAAAATAAAATACCCTGATTTGGCTCAGCGCCCCAGGCACAGTAGTTATGGTGCCAGCCACATACACGGAAGGTGGTGGGTTCAAACCCAGCCTGGGCCAGCTAAACAACTGCAACCAAAAAATAGCCGGGCGCTGTGGTGGGTGCCTGTAGTCCCAGCTACTTGGGAGGCTGAGGCAGGAGAATCACTTAAGCTCAAGAGTTGGAAGTTGCTGTGGGCTGTGACACCATGGCACTCTACCAAGGGGGACATAGTGAGACTCTGTCTCAAAAAAAGAAAAAAAATACCCTGATTTAAATTTACAGCTGATTTTTACCAAACTTTTAAGCTTTAGTTTATGAAACAGGATCACAGTTCTTTTCCCCAATTGCTAATACCAAGATTGTTTCGAATACCAAAAAAGGGGAAGTCCAAAATACCCGCTGTAGAGCTTCTATGCCTTGGCTTTTGTCATATTTCTCTGCAGAGGAGCTAGGATGACCTCCACGTCACTGTCGTCACTCTCGGAGCTGTACAAATTATGCTTTTCAATGTATTCTTGGACAAGCTCTGGCACCAAGTAGCGGATGCTCTGGCCCCTCCTGAGGGCCCTCCGGATCTTCGTGGACGAGATGTCGTTAGTGATCCACTCGTTCACCAGGTGGATGTTGCTCCTGTGCTTCCACAGCACGTCCGACTCATAGATGAATTTCTGAGCGTCACTTCCAGCCCGAGTAATACAGATGAGTCCGTAGTCTGCAAGGATCTGGGTGATATCCTCACTCTTCCACAGATTGGGAACACCAAAGGACTCCAGTAAATCTGCCCCGCACAGCAACTTTACCTTTGGCACATCTGGGAAGAAGAAGAGAACAGAGCTTCAGGGTCTGCTTTTCTATTAACTTCCTGCACCAAAATGAATGTGTGTGTTTTCTGGGAATCAGGGTTTACGGTTTTTATCAGAGTCAGATTTCCAAAAGCGACCCAGGACACCTCCAAAGTTGAAAGACCACCGGAGGAGAAATAAGTGAGGGAAGCTTTTACTCTCTCTTTTTTTTTTGAGACAGAGCCTCAAGCTGTCCCCTTGGGTAGAGTGCCATGGCATCACAGCTCACAGCAACCTCCAACTCCTGGGCTCAAGCGAGTCTCCTGCCTCAGCTTCCCAAGTAGCTGGGACCATAGGCGCCCACCACAACGTTTGGCTATTTTTTTTTTTTTTGGTTGCAGCCGTCATTGTTGTTTGGCGGGCCCGGGCTGGATTCGAACCCGCCACCCTAGGTGTATGTGGCTGGCGCCCTAGCCACTTGAGCCACAGGTGCCAAGCCTACTCTCTTTTTCTTCACAAAACTAACTGGGGCATTTCCAGGCACCCACATATATGGCCTATGAAATAAAAATAAAAAGGGGGTTTGTTCAGCTCTAGAATCACTTCGCTGCTAGTCTGTGAGTCCTGGTAAAACACACAAACCTTTTGGTTTTGGATCTAAGGATTTCTTTTGGCTAGAATCTTGTCTTGGTTCAGTCCACTTCCTCTTCCGTCCAGGCCTTTCTAGCACAGGTGAGTTCTGTGAGTGGTCACAGTTACTGGCCTCCAGTTTCTCCTGATGGTGTCTATAAAACGACAAAACAATAGAGCACTTTCCTTTCTCACAATGCTCCACTAAAATACTGTTAACAAGAGTTCCAATCATGCCCATGTGCCACACCCTACGCTACACTAACCCTTCACCTGTGTTATCGGATTACATCTTCTCAATACATCTTATCAATTACATCTTCTCAATGATCAATATTTAGATCATAAATCCAGAGTCCCTGGAACACAGGCAGCATTCAATATCAATGTTATTTTTGAGACAGGGTCTTCCTCTGTTGCCCAGGCTAGAGTGCAGTGGCATCATTACAGCTCACTGCAACTTCAAACTCCTCGGCTCAAGAGATCTTCCTGCCTCAGCTCTTGAGTAGCTGGGACCATGAGTGTGTACCACCATGCTCAGCTAATTTTTCTATTTTTGGTAGAGACGGCGTCTCACCATGTTTCTTAGGCTGGTCTTAACTCCTGGCCTCAAGTGATCCTCCCTCAGCCTCCTAGAGTGCTAGGATTATAGGCATGAGCCATAGCACCTGGCAACACAAATGATCCTCCTCCCTCAGCCTCCCAAAGTGCTACAATTATAGGCATGAGCCACAGCACCCCGTTTGATAACAATTTAACTGAGAATGAGGCCAGGCTTGGCGGCTCACACCTGTAATCCTAACACTCTCAAACACCAAGGCAGGTGGATTGCTTGAGCTCAGGAGTTTGAGACCAGCCCGAGGAATAGTGAGACCCTGTTTCTACTAAAAATGAAAAACTGAGGGAAGAGGATCGCTTGAGCCTCAAACTTCAAAGAGTTTGAGGTTGCTGTGAGCTATGTTGCCATAGCACTTTACCCAGGGAGACAAAGTGAAACTCAGTATACAAAAAAAAAAATTAAAAAATTAATGAAGTGAATGTTTTGGTTATTACAAAGTAACTATATTGTTACCACTTTTTTTTTTTTTTTTTGAGACAGAGTCTTACTTTGTCACCCTTGGTAAAGTGCTATGACATCATAGCTCACAGCAATCTCTAGCTCCTGGGCTTTGGCGATTCTCTTGCCTCAGCTCCCCAAGTAGCTGGGACTACAAGCACCTGCCACAACACCTGGCTATTTTTTTGTTGGAGTTTGGCCTGGGCCAAGTTCGAACCCACCACCCTCGGTATACGGGACTGGTGCCCTACTCACTGAACCACAGGCGCCGCCCTACTGTCGCCACTTTTACATTAGAATTGTTTATTATTCTCATTGAGAGGACACTTACTAATGTGCCCAGACAGCAGAGACAGGACTCGAACCCCAGCACTCTTGAATACTGAAAAGTGTGGCCTGAACTAGTGATGAAGAACCACACTGCCCAAGGTAAGGTCCTAGAGGGCCAAATGCTTGAAGCTAAAAGTGAGGGGCCACAAGCAGGCAGAATGTGCTGATTTATTCTGGGCTGGCAGCAGGATGTCCACTGCTTTACAACTGTGCAGTGCAACCCAATGACATAAGCTACACTTGTGGGATCCACTGGTGGGTCATTTGTGTCCCTACATCCCTCTCTTTCTGAACAACTGATTTGACTTTGTAATGGACAGTAGGTTACTATGTAGCCAAGAGGGCTGGGTAGGGCTGGGGCTCAGAAGCCTGATGGGAGAATTTTTTGCCAAAAAAGAATGAAGACTGGCTTGGTGCCTATAGCTCAACCGGCTAAGGCGCCAGCCACGTACACCTAAGGTGGCGGGTTCGAATCCCCAGCCCGGACCCGCCAAACAACAATGACGGCTG